GGCATTGTCTCCTATGGACGGTCACATGCAAAGCCCCCTGCTGTCTTCACCCGGATCTCCCATCACCAGCCCTGCATCAATGAGGCCCTGAAGGAGGATTAACCTGGAGCCTGGGCCAGCCTGAGGGGAAATCTGGAGCTGGATCCGATCATGCTGTCTGTGCCACTCCCTCTTGGTGGTCTGCCTCTGGTTCCTGTGGAAGTCCTGCCACACCCCTAAGCCTCAAGAATGTTCCTCCAGATCACAGAATTCCCAGTCTCCATAAAGACCCGGTTTCCAGACTTGAGTTTGTGTCTCTTCCCTCTGCAGCTCTCTCCTCCCAGCATCAGGCTCTAAAAGCCTTGAAAGGAGTCGGTGTGTCAGAGTCAGAGAGGAAACAATGAAGAAAAAGAGGGAAAGAAGGAAGAGAAAGGGATTCCTTGGAGAGGCAGGACCCTCATGTCCAACTTAAACAAGAAATCACACCAGATCCTTCCTTGACTCATCATCAACTCAACAGCAATCGTGACTTACCTTTAGGGATATTCAAAATCACTAAGAACATTTCGAATTGTAGGGTATTTAGAGCATCCTGACCTCTCCCCACTAGACGCTGGTAGCAACAGCCCCCTCTCCACCACCAAGTTAGGAACCAAAAACACGTCCAGGCATTGCTAAATGTCCCCCAGGGGTGTGTGAGGGGTGGGTGAGGAAGCTGGGAAGGAATCACCCTCAGTTGAGAACTAGCAGTTTGGATGCATGAGCTAGAGAGGCATTTGGGGCCGCATTGGGCCCTTGTGACAGTCCACCTCGATAAGAGAAGATCTGCATCTGTGGAGCTTTGATCTGAGATGCAGGGAAGACCATCCCTCATTCACTTCTGCGTGACAGATACCTGGAGCAGATAAGAGGCGAGACAGCATCACAAGTCTTGCTGAACGTCAGCCACAAACGGCTGCTCCCACACCACACAAGTCTGTGTACCCTCAACGTGCTCAAGACTAGGGCAGTGGCACAAAGAAGAGAGGGGGTCAGTCCTGCTCAGGACAGGAGGACAATAGCTCTGAATTCTGAGCCCAGGGGTAGAATAGCCATTGAAGCACAGCAGGGAGCCTGCCCTAGCAGTTCTAATTGATTACTGGCTGCTGTGAGAGAAAACTTGACTTGATTAAGGGCTAGTCCTCTGTGCTGAGTGTCAGCCCCACCCACCTGCTTCCCTGTCCTTAAACAGCAGCCTGGAGCCACCATCCCACAGCACCTTCATAGGGAGAGGATCAGGGACCTGGGGGAGGAGAAGGAGCTGCCACCCGGGGTGAAGTGAAGCAGTGACAATGTCCAGGGTCAGGGCTTGGCAGCCGAGGGGTCCATGGGAGCCAGCCCTGCCCTCTGACCTCCTACGTAGAGGCCATGCAAGGCGGGGCCTCCTCCGAGAGGGGGCCTGGGAGGGCAGGGGAGGCGGGACCAGGAGGAGAGCGGGCTCAGTCCTTTCCCTCCCTCTGCCCTCAGGGGGACTCCGGGGGCCCTCTCGTGTGTGACAATGTGGCCCAGGGCATTGTCTCCTATGGACAAAACGATGGGTCCACTCCACAAGCCTGCACCAAAGTCTCAAGTTTCCTGCCCTGGATAAAGAAAACCATGAAAAGTCTCCACCTGCAAGAACCGGACCGTCTTCCCTGGAGCTGATCTAGAATCACACTGGGTTGGGGGGCCAGCAACGGAATAAAGCCTCTTAGCTGAGCAGGAAGAGTTGGTTTCTTGTTTATTTGTTGACCCCCATTCACAGGCACCAGCTCTGTGCTTCGAAAGCCAAGGACACTGTTCTGCTGGTTTCTGCTTCCTCCTCTTCCCCCTCCCACCATCACTTCCCCTAAACCCCGTGCAAAGCTATACCCAGGTCCCGCACACCTGGCTTTCCAGGGCCTGCCCTCCTGCCAGGGCTGAAGCTGAGCACCATCAGGAGAAGACAGGAACCTCTCTGGTCCGGGGCCAGAGTGCCTTACCTCCTTGCCCTGTGTCCTATGACAGAGAGGAGGGGATGACACCACGGGTCCCGGGCACCAGGCAGGCACAGGCTGGGGCTGCCACTCAAGGACAGAGCCCCCACCGGGGAGGGAGGGGCCTTCCTGAGCAGACATTTCTCTCCCACAGCCCGGGAAGCAGGCCCAGGGCAGGGGTGGATCTCCTGAGAAGTTCCTCCTTCTCAGCTGGGCAGAGTGTCCTTCCTGCCCTCATCCGAGCTCAGGGCCCAGCTCTGCCCCCAGTCACCCAGCGGTCCCTCTTCTCCAGCCCTGTTGCCACTGGGAGTCCTCCAAGTCCACCGACTCCTGTCCCCTCCAGCCCACACTGACCTCAGCTGGCCCCTCCCTCATATCCCTCCCACCCAGGACACGCCCAGCTCCAGGTGGGACAGCAGGGCCCCATCACTGAGATGCCAGCCCAGCTCGGGGCCTGGCAGAGAGGGTGTCGGAGGGACCAGGCCCGTGCTGGCACCAGGCAAGGCTCAGGGAGTGGTGTCTCCTCAGAACCCTTGGGCCCATCTCTCACCTGGGCAGGGCCGGCTCACGCCTCACATCCAGCCCAGTGTACCTCATGTGCTCAGGGTCTGCTGGCCACCTGGTCACAGCGTAGCCTGAGTCCCTTTCGGCCTGTCCCTTTAGCCACTGCTGGCCTTGAGGCTGAGACTCCCTGCTGGCCCCCTTGGGCCTTTTGAGTTACAAAGGGCTCCTCTCTCCAGTAGGACTTTCAGTCACAATTCTTTTTCATCAGTCATCACAAATGCTGATGGAGCACCTACTAGGTGCCAGACACGGGGGCTGTACAGTGGGCATCCTACAGGCACTACCGTCTGAACCCAGGTGAAACGGACAGCGCTGGCTTTCATCTGAAACACCTAACCCCCGGCCTCCTCCACGTGAGGCCACCGGGGTGGCCTAGATCTCTGCAGGAAGCCCACAGGGATAAAGCATTGGTGTTTACTTGTCTTGCTGGGTACACTCTGTCTGCGGGAGTGTATTCCACGTGTGCCTAGAACAGCTGGCACTGAGCAGCACTGCTCTGCTCCCTGGAGCAACCTGGTCACCTGGGGGAGGGGGCAGCTGGGAGGCAGGGAGGCAGGGAGGCAGGGAGGCAGGGAGCAGGAAAAGGCTGGCCTTACCGCATTTCCACTAAAAGTAGCAGGACGAATGTCACTGCACGCGTTCAATGGAGGAAACCCTCTATGACATATTTGCTTGAAGGCAGTTAGATCTGACTCTAAATACTTATTTATTTGGATGGGCCAGAAGCACGGTCCCTGTCATTACCACAAGCCCCTGCCTGCACAGAATCAGTCTGGAGTCAGGGAGGCCCACATGATCTGGACAAATGGAGAAATGCCTCTGCTCTTTGGGTCATCATGGTTCCTGCGTCCACATAGTCCGAGATGACTCAGATTTTTCAGCCTTAGGAAGTTCTTGGCTTGGAGGCCACTTGTAGGGCCTGTGATTCTGGCTGAGCAAGGATCTCCCTGTGGTGGGCTCGCCTCTCCAGACACTCCCAACAGCCGTCCCTCTAAGGTCGGGCGCTATGAGGGGGCACTGCCTGGAAGCTGAGCAAGGGCCCAGCTCGGCGCTGGCACCAACGCGCCCCCAGGACACACACCACTTTGCTCTTCTGCGGTGTGGGGTCGATACTCTGGGATCCCGTAACCCTCAAAGGCCTGCCCTTTGTCGTGTTGTTGTGCACACAGCATGCAGCAACACCATCTCCCAATGACCTGGGCCGCTCCCACCAGGGAAGAGCAATGATGCCATGCAGCGTCTGATTTAGAGCTGAAGTAAACCCTGCATCTGAAACATACTAAGGACCTGGCTCCTTCATTGAAAAGGACAAGAAGGAAAATGCAGAAACAAAACAAGACTAGCATTTTCAAAAGTTGCCAGCCACAGACATATTCAGAGCTTAAGTAAAACATTTACTTCAAGGAAATAGGTCTGTGGTTTAAAAGAAGCTTGAGAAATTTGTCACGGGCCCACATCCTCCTTTGAGTGATGAGGGAGACAAAGTCCCACGAGGGGGTAGAGACCGACTGAAGACACCACAGACCTAGGACAGAGCCAGGCCAGCAAGAGGCCTTCCATGTTTCCTAGTCCTGCCCTGTGATGACTTCCTGGCAGCCCTGGACAAGACATGAGCCTCCTATCTACCTCCCCTGAGAGCAGCCGGGGGAGCAGCTGTTCTCTGACACGTATGCAAGACACCTTCTTGCTGTGCTGGTCTGTCTGCTCACAGGCACATTTGGATGGAGGGGAGTAAACACCTTAAACATGCTGATTCCTTCAAATTTTCTTGTCCATAGAAGTATCCTCCACCCTCAGCTTCAAGGAAACAATCCTTCCCTGTCTGAAAGATCTCTGCAATGGAAATAAAAAATGAAATAAAGTAAGACATCTCTGTGATGACTTCCAAGGAACTGCCTCTACTCACCAAGACCCTTTCCCACCCCCTCCTTCCCTCCAGACCCACAAGAAGAGTTGGGTCTCAGTGTGGCTGGGGAGGGAACTGCCAAGCCATCTCTGGGGCGACAGATCTCAAGGGATTCAAGTTCTCGCTCATTCGTTTCAGGAACGTGTGTTGGGATGGCCCTGCCTCCCCTGCACACCACCATAATTCTGCCAGTACCACTCCTTGTGGACTTGCGGAACTTCAGGGTTTATCTCCTGTCCTGGTATCCCAAACAGCACCGCTTTTGACCAACAAATGTATTTTGCCATGATGTTCTGCCATTTGAAACAACATGGATGGACCTGGGGAGTATTATGCTTAGTGAAGTAAGTCGGATAGAGAAAGACAAATATTGTACATTTTTACTTATACGTGGAATCTAAAATATTAAACAAATGAATAAATAAAACAGAAATAGATTCATAGATACTGGGAGTAAACTGGTGGTTACCAGAGGGGAGTGGGTGGTGGGAGGAACAAGATAGAGGAAGGGGATTAAGAGATACCAGCTACTAGAAATAAAGTAAATAAGATACCAGGACGTACTGCACAGCACAAGGAATATAGTCAATATTTTATAATAACTTTATATGGAATATAACTTACAAAAATATGAAAGACTATGTTGTACACCTAAAACTAATAGAACATTGTAAATCAACTATACTTCAATTTTTAAAAAGTATGAAATGTCATTAAATGGAAAATAATTTATATCAAATTCTTTCATGGATTATGAACTATTTAAGGCAAAAATTTATGGCATAAAGTAGTGAAATGTATGACAAAAATAACTCAAAGGGTGAGAAGGAAGACAAATGAAAATACATCATTGCAAAGTTTTTATGAAGGGGTACAGCATTAATTCAAGGTTGACTGTAATGTGTGAAGTAGCATATTGTAACCCTAGAGTAGCAGTTAAAATAACGTACACAGATATTGCTAAAAACCAATAAAGAAAACAAAATGAGATTCAACAAAATACAACAGAAAAATAAGGACAAAAGAACAAAAATAAATCACACTGACAGAAATCAAATAGCAATATGATATTCTTCATCCCAACCCTATCAGTAGTTGCATTAAATATGAGTAGATTAAATACTCAAATGGGCAGAGATTGTCCGTCTGGATAACAAATGCAAGACCCAATTTTGTGCCGTTTATAGGAGAAATATCTTAAATACAAAGACATAGATAGGATGAAAGAAAAATTATGAGGAAAAAATGATATATCTTGCAACACTAACCAAAGAAACAGCCTTGTTCTTTCTTTTTTTTCTTTTGAAGTATAGTCAGTTTACTATTATATGTCAACTTCTGGTGTACAGCACAATGCTTCAGTCATACCAGTCATCCATGGATATACACATATTCATTTTCATATTCTTTTTCACTGTAAGCTACTACAAGATATCAAATATAGTTCCCTGGGCTATACAGTATAAAATTGTTTTTCTATTTTCTATATACTAGTCAGTATCTGCAAATCTCAAAGTCCCAATTTATCCCTTCCCACCCTCTTTCCCCCTGGTAACCATCAGTTTGTTTTCTATGTCTGTGAGCCTGTTTCTGTTTTATAAATAAGTTCATTTGCTTTTATGTTTTTTTTTCAGATTCTACATGTGAGCGATCTCATATGGTATTTTTCTTTCTCTTTCTGGCTTACTTCACTTAGAATGACATTCTCCAGGGCCACAGCCTTGCTCTTGATGTATGCTGTTTAACTGTAGAATTTGGGGCCATCTGTGAGATGAGATAAAGTAGGATAATTATTTCTGTTTTTCCATATCTTACTTCTGTTTACCTTACTAAGAGTGAGGTTGAGAATCTTTCCATGTTTTCATACACATGTATATATATACTACTCCAAACTGTCAGGTCTTTTGCCCAGTCCTCTATCAGGTGTTTGGTCTGTTCCTTGGGAGTTAGAGATCTTTCTGTATTAGATAGGTTAACTCTTTAATTGTGACGAATGTTGTGATAATTTTTTCCAAATTTGCTGCCTGTAATTTAAATTTTCTTATGCTCTTTCCTAATGTACAATCTTGAAAAAAATTATTTATTCATATCAAAATGTATTTATCAGTCCTTCATTTCATGTTTCTGGATTTAGAGTCATTGCTAGAGGCTTTCCCCACTCTCACTGTTTAAACGAATTTGACCATACTTACATGTATGGTCTTCTTTTGCATATCTGAGTATACAAACATCTTCTCTATTTGGACTTTATTCTGGTGGTTTATGTGAAATATTACTCCAGGTTAATCTCTTAGCAAATGACTGTCCAATTCTTCCAATGTCATTTATTAAATGTCCATCTTTTCCCTCATGGTTTGAAATGCCACCTTATTGTCACTGCATGTCCATATGTACTTGTTTGTTTCTGGACTTTCCATTCTGTTTCACTGGTCTGCTCATAGTCAGCACCACGCTGCTTCCCCTTACTATTCCTTTTCCTTTTTGATAGAATTTCCCTGGTTATTCTATCATGGTTATTTCATGGTTATTTTCCATATGAATTTTAGAAATTGTCTAGAACTTGTGTAACATCAGGAGAAAAAAATTGGATTCTTTTTTGGAATCACATTAAATTTATATATTAGCTTTGGAAAAATCAGTATCTTTTCGGTATAGGTCCGTCCTACCCAAGAACTAAGAGTCTCTTGCTTTTCTAAAGTCTCTTTTAGTGTTTGTCAAGAGTACTTTAACATTTGCACAAGTACAGTTTTCACAATTCTGGTTAAGTTTTTCCTGAGCATCTCATCTTTTTTTATTGTTATTGTAACAGGTTTTCTTTTCAATTATATCTTCAAAGTGAAAGCTACAGATTTCCTTTTAATTTTGAAACAATCTCTAGCATATAGAAAAGTCTCAACTGGAATACAAAAACTTCTGTTCTCCTGAACAGCTTGAGAGTAAATTTACTGACATGGTGCTCCAACACTTCTCAGATACTTCAGAGTGTAATTCTTACAAACAAGGACACTCTTACACAACCACAATCCAACCATCAAACCCAGGAATTAACACTGATGCCACCAATACCACCTCCTCCTCAGACAATGAGAAATTTGGCTTATCGGCCTTAGTATGTTTATACATTTGATTAGTCCCCACAGAGGTTTATATAACAAATCTCTCATCCATCTTCCCCAAGTGCAGCCCCTGCTCCCCGACCCTGGCTCTGGCGATCCGCATCAGGCCGCCCCTTCATGCCAATGCCCGCCTCAGCCTATGTGGCCTGCTCTGACAAATCCCGCCAGACCGTCATCCCCTCTGTGGAGGCCCTGAATCCTCCTTGAGCTCTGATACCACCTGCTAGCCAGTCCCTTGTGTGAGCACCCTCCTCACCCAAGGTGGGTGTCTGCTCCCTGTGCTGGGAAACCCTCCTCACATGCATTCTGATATCTCGTCCAGGCCGCCCAGTGCAGGGTGTCCGAGCTTATGTGGGGTTAGAGCACCCTACTTGGTTCTCTGTGACTTGCCTGTCAGAATCACTATTGACAGTGTGCTTTGTGTCTTTAACTAAGGTTTTGTCGCTTTTTAAGAGACTTGGCATCAAGATATTTAGAACAAACAATATTTTCAATTCCCTGACTCTTTCATTTTCCATTCCATGGGAACATGACTGACTCTGTCTATCTCCATCCTGTAGGCTCTTCTTACATGATGGCAACACTCCTCCCACTGGGAGGTGGGGGTCTATGGCCCTTCCTTTTTAATCTGGTGGGAGCTCCTGATTGCCTCAAACTGCGGACTGTGGTGGAATATGGTATAATGGTAGAAAGTCTAGGTAATAAAAAGAACACAGCTTCTGTTTGGCTCAACTTTTTGGGAGATGCTCACTCTGAGGAAGCCAACCACCATGTTGCAGGGGAACCAAACAATTCTGTGAACTGAGACTACCTGAGGGGCTCTCAAGGAGAGAAAACAGCATGCCCAGGGGACAGCCAGCATCAACCACTGGCCATGTGTAAGCGAGCCCACAAGTGATTTCAGCTTCCAGGATTCAAGCCTCCCTGACATCAAGGGTAGCGGAGGGGAGACATCCACACTGTACCTTGAGCAAAATGCAAAATACTTTAGTAACTGGAATAAGTTCTCTACACCATCACTCCCACAGCATTCTGTCCATCCCACTCCATGGATCTCACCATCTTTGACTGATCACTGATGGTTTTGTCTCCTCCACCAGAAGTGAGGACCGAATTGCCAATGTCTCCCACAGGCTCACGCAAAAAGGGGCCCCAATAAACAGTCACCCTGGTGATCTACAGAGAACCACAGAAATGAAGACTTCTTTGATACTATCATCGTGAGACCCGGGCTGCTGGGGCTGAGAGGTCTGAGACTGGCTGCTACCACATTCCCAACCACCCCACTGATAAGAACTTATCAGAGGATTTTGTGAAGTTCTTACTCCACTCAGATCTGAGAACTTGATCAAAAAGTGGTGGGGGATTTTCAGGGAGGTTTCATGTGATAATGGCCACAACACCAGAGGGGGAGACACTGGGGTTAAAAGGCCAGAAGGAAGCACCAGCAGCTCAGATCCAGGCGGACTTCCTGGAGAGATGCTCCTGCTCCTGCTCCTGGCAGCCCTTCTTCTGTCCCCCACCGGGGAGGCAGGTGAGTGACTGTCCCCACCCTCTGAGGCCCAGGTCCATCTGACATTGGCACACGCCTGCTGAGATGCTATGCTCATACACGTCCTGGCTCCGGTCCATCCCCAGGAATTTCTGAACATTGTTCAACTTCCCTGGAGACCAGCAAATCTGATGCTGGATAAAAACTCAGCAGGAATGGCAGGCAGAGGCTGCTCCCCTTAAAAGCCAGCGGGAAATATTCTCTCTCTCCTTATCATCTGGAGAGTGAATTCTTTTACAAAAGCATCTGGAAGAAGGGTGGAAGCTAGGAATGAGGAATAAATAATTTTCAGGAATGGGCAACTTGGAGAAAGGGGCTGGTTTCTGTAATCAATGAAAGGCTCTCTACCTTTCTATCCCCTTGTCTTACTACCTACTCTCAATCTCCATTCCCTTCTCTAAGCTTTGTCATTCCCATGATGCCCATAAAAGAAGCCAAGGACCCAGGTGATCCCAGAGTTGGTGGCATGCTGGTGCCTTTAACACTTATGCTTGGCTGGTTCAGTCTCAAGTTCTCTAAAAGAATAATTTTTCAGTACAATGAGCACGATGGCTTTGGTAGGCCCCATCTTCCCACTGTTCAGAACCCCAACCAGAACTCTAACCCTCCCCCAGAGGCCAACTGGGAGCCATTCATTCATGAGGCCAAGACATTTACTGGGCACCTACTATGTGTCAGATGCTAAAAGATAGAGCTCAAATACAACCCAGCTCATGTCCTTAATATTACAAACATGCAGCAGCTCAGTAAACTCTTGGTAACAAGAAAGGAGAGAGGACCCAGGGATCATCAGAGAGAGGATTTTCCAGGATCTAAGAGGACTTCACTAATTGTTCCCAACACAAATCTTATCTGTCAACATGCGGCTGCGGCAGGATGAAGGAACAGGGACCGCTCTTCTGTCCTGCAGAGGGAGACCTGGAGTTGTGGGTCACTAGGGCAGGGATGCTGCCCAAGGAGCCTGGAAGACCCTCTGCATGGTTGCTGCTGGCTCTTACAGACCCTCTCCCAGCCACCCTACTCCTTCTCGCCCTGCATTACATTGTCCCTGTCTTCCCCTCTCCAGCCTTTGGCTCCACAAGCACACAGGCAAGGTGGATCTTTCTTTTAGGGAAAATCATCGGGGGCCATGAGGCCAAGCCTCATTCTCGTCCCTACATGGCATTTCTTTGGATCAAGACTTCAGGGAAAATTACGGCCTGTGGCGGTTTTCTGGTGCGTGAGGACTTCGTGCTGACAGCAGCTCACTGCTGGGGCAGGTGAGGAGCAGCGCCTGGGCCCCCGCCCCTCTGTCAGCGCCTCACAGGGAGCCCTCTTCTCAGGGGCCGCAGGCCTGGGCCACCTAGTAACACAGACGAGCTCTTTGGAGGACAGCTAAGCTTTGAGGAGAGAGGGACAGATCAATGCGAGTGGCCTGCGGAGAAAGGAACTGCCCAAAGGTGGGATGGAAGGAAGCCAAGGTTAAGCCCTGGAGCCCAGAGTGCAAATGTGAGACAGATGCACGGACTGGCTTACAGGCAGGCTCTGTGCAGGACTCAGCACCCTAAGTGCTCTCCAGGAACTGCCGCCCAGCCTGGGCTGCCCGCAAGCGGACTGAACAGAGATGCTCTGCCCCAGGGCCCCACTGCCTAGAATTCTCTCCACTCCAGTCCTGCCCTGTCCCGAGCCTGTGACTCCACCTCCCTCTCTGCTCTCTTTGCAGCTCAATCAGCGTCACCTTGGGGGCCCACAACATCGATAAGCAGGAGGGGACCCAGCAGGTCATTCAGGTGAGAAGAGCCATCCCCCACCCAGATTATGATGATGAAAACGTGGCCAACGACATCATGTTACTGCAGGTAGGGCACGTGGCTGCGCCGGTTCTCACACACTTTAACCCCAGAGCTTTGCCTCCCCTATCACCTCACTCCTGTCTCTCCTTCCGGTACGACCCCTTCAATTATCCCAGAGCTGTGAAGAAAGCAACCCTACGACTGTCCCTGCGGTCTCTGTGGGCCATGGGTAGGTTAGAATGCCTTTCCTCTGCCTTCAGCTGACGAGGAAGGCCAACCTGACCACCGCTGTGAGCCCCATCCGGCTGCCCCAGGGGAAGGAGCTGGTGAAGCCAGGGATGGTGTGCAGTGTGGCCGGATGGGGGCTTCTTGGCGAGAACAAACCTGCAGCAGCAAAACTGCAGGAGGTAGACCTTGAAGTCCAAACAGACCAGCAATGCATCCATCACTACAAACATTACGATGCCACCACCCAGATATGTGCAGGGAACCCGAGAAAGAAGAAGAATTGTTTTGAGGTGAGATCCCCAGCGTTGTCCAGGCAAAGCCCTGGGCACATCCCTGGCAGTGGGAACTAGCCATATCTCCACGTCTGCAACATTTCCTCCTATCCAGTCTCTGGTCCTGTCTCCCTGGGGGATGGGAGATTGTCCCACACATATGGGCAGAGACTTCCTAGGGGAGGAGAACGGGGGATGAACAAGGCTGGGCTGAAACCTCAGGACCCAAAACCTTCATATCAGCCACGGCCCCCTAACAGAGATCACCCACCCCCTGGGCGGCAGGGAGGGTCAGACCACAAGATGACCCAGCTCACTCCTTCCCCTCTCTGTCCACAGGGAGACTCTGGAGGCCCCTTGCTGTGTAACAGCGTGGCCCAGGGCATTGTCTCCTTTGGAACCAAGAATGGTACACCTCCAAGTGTCTATACCAGAATCTCGAGCTTTCTGTACTGGATAAAAAACACAATGAGAATCTATGAACTTCAGGGACCAGACTGAAGTGCCCCGGGATGGATGTGTCCATCTTCTCTGGGGCAGAGGCCAGAACGGCATTGGGCCAAGGGGATGGAGGGGAGGCTGCCAGGCATCTAATAAACTGTCATCTTCAGAAATCATTGATTCCTCCTTTATTCATCCACACACATTTGTTAGGTAACAAGAGTGTCTAGCAACCCTCTGTTCAATTTTCTGGCCTGTTCCTGGCTTCCCCCTCCAGCAGACCCCTCCTTCCAACTCTGGAATAAAAATCCTGTTGCAGTGACAGCCAGCGCCCACCGATCACACGTCCCCAGTGTCAGCTTCCCAGCCAGGCTGCCTGTGAGTCCGTCAGAACACGGAGACATCTCCTCAGGAAAACTGACCCTCATCTAGAGGACGCTCCCACCTCCTCCCTCGTCCCCACCCCCACCGCACCTCAATATTCCAGGGCCACATGGCAATGTAAGAGGATCCAGATTTCGAAGGAGGATCACCTGAGACGCGCTGGGGTGGGGGTGGGGGGACTTCTCCACCCGAACAGAAATGGAAGACGGGAGGCTTTGGAAAACTGTAGCTCACCCCTGCAGAATGTCCTCCCACATCAGAGTAGCCAGAGCTCAGAAGCCTGAGATCGTTTCAGGAGCGCCTCAGAGTTCCCAGGCCCAGCCCCAGGGCCTGGCCCAGCCCCAGCTGGGAGTCCTGGGCCCAGGGCCGCCTCGGGTGTCCGGACGGCTCAGCCTCCTGCAGCCCCAGGTGAGCTGCAGGGCGCTCTTCCTTCTTGTCTGAGCCAGCCTCCCCACCTCCACTGTTCCTGAGTGTGTGTGTGTGTGTGTGTGTGTGTGTGTGTGTGTACACATACATATCTCCAAAGGAAACTCATTGTAATGAAAAGTATTGGTCTCAGGGGTTTCCTAATGTTTCAAAGGTGTCTAATAGCCTACAGCATACTGAGCAAACTTTTTCTTCTACTTTCTAACATCTCAGAATTTTTTATATAAGAATGGATTCAGAAAGGTGAACTTTTTGAAAACCACGCACCTCAGAGGAGGCTAGGCTGAGGAGAGGCTTACAGAATGGTCCGCTGTCTCACTGCAGGCGGCAGGTCGGCTCCAGCTGACTGCCAGCTTCTCAGGGGCAGGAGCTGTGTCCCTCATATCCCCGGACTTACCTTATTAAATAACTATTCATAACTTCATCAAAACGGAAAAAGAGCCGGGAACAGGAACATGGGGACACTCTTGATTCATGATGGAGCCGACTCTGCGGGTCCAGCGCCTCTGCTGGCCGCACCCCAGCCTTCACTGTCTTGTGCTTGCTTCTTGCTTTCACCTTGTGGCTCAGCAGTGGGAGGGCAAGTGTGGTGACAGCGCCCTTCTCACCCAAGCCGAGGCAGGGACCAGGGACCCCCACGTTGCTGGCTGACATCCGGCCCAGGAGTCTGTGCCCGGCTGAGCCTCCCCTCCTCTGTTCCCCTGGGCTTTGTGTCTGGAGGGAAGGAAGACCAGCAGCTCAACCTGCGCAGACTTTCAGGGAAGATGCAGCCACTCCTGCTCGTGATGGCCGTTCTCCTGCCCGCCGGGCGGGGACAGGTGAGTGACAATCCTCATTCCTCGGGCCTGGGTCCATCTCACTAAGCCCCCTGTCCTCCTGACCCT